TCATTTTGGGAGCTCCGTTTTTCAAAAACTTACAGGGGACACTGCTGGCGATTTGACATTTTGGGAGCTCCGTTTTCCAAAAGCAGGGGTACACTGCTTGCGACTTGTCATTTTGGGATTTCAGGTTTCCAAAACTTTAGGGTGGACACTGCTTGCGATTCATCATTTTAGGAGCTCAGTTGTCCAAAAACTTAAAGGGGACACTGCTGGCGATTTATCATTTTGGGAGCTCCATTTTCCAAAAACTTAAGGGGGGCACTGCTTGCGATTTGTCATTTTGGGAGCTCAGTTTTTCAAAAACTTAAGGGGGGACACAGCTTGCGATTTGTCATTTTGGGAGCTCCGTTTTCCAAAAACTGAAGGGGGACACTGCTTGCGATTTGTCCTTGTGGGAGCTCAGTTTTCCGAACACTTACTTGCGATTTGTCATTTTGGAAATTCGGTTCTCCAAAAAACCAAGGGGGAACACTGCTTGCGATTTGTCATTTTGGAAGCCCTGTTTTCCAAAACTTCAGGGGTAACAATGCTTGCGATTTGTCATTTGGGAGCCCAGTTTTCCAAAAACTTAAGAGGGACACTGCTTGCGATTTGTCATTTCGGGAGCTCAGTTTTCCAAAAACTTAAGGGTGACTTAAATTCCAGCCCCCCCCTGCCCAAGGCCGTCCCCAGGAAGAACAAGAAGAAGAGAAGAGAAGAGAAGAGAAGAGAAGAAAAGAGAAGAGAAGAGAAGAGAAGAGAAGAGAAGAGAAGAGAAGGAGAAGGGAAGGGAAGAGAAGAGAAGAGAAGAGAAGGGAAGAGAAGAGAGAGAGAGAGAGAGAGAGAGAGAGAGAGAGAGCGAGCGCAGAGAAGCGGGAGGAAATTGTAGTGAGATGGATTTGTGTCCTTACACAAACATTCAAAGAAGAGAAAGAAGAGAGGCGAGGGTGGATGAAGGTAGTGAGATTGAATAGTGGCGCCTCTCAGAATTTGTTGTTTCTTCCTTCTTTCTTTCTTCCTCCCAAAGACCAGAAAGGGATGAGAGGAGAGTTACGACAATTGAAATGTTCTTTGTCCTTCTCCTTGATAAGAAAGAAGAAAAACACTTTTGTTCATTCCTTGGTGTTTTCCTCTTGTTGTCTGTTCCTTCTCGCTGAATGAGTCTGTTGAAAGAACACGCACAAATGAACAGGGGAGCCGTTTTGTCCTATCTGAACAGAACTGTTGGAACTCAGGGGGGGTGGATTGCAGACAAACTGGAAGGAACAGGGGAACTCAGCCCTGCGAGGGGCCACTTTTTGCAACATAACTGCCCCCCACGCGCACACGTGCAGCCCCAAATCTGACTTCGCGAGACTGTTTGCAATTCTCTCCTCCATAAGAAAAGCAAAGAGCAGAGAAAAAGCGAGAAGAGATGAGAGCGAGAAGAGATGAGAGCGAGGACGAAGGTAACGAGATGATCTTGGGTTCTTGGACATTCATCTTTCTTTCCGGCAAGAACAGAGCCAGAGAAGAGAGATAAGAGAGCAAGATAAGAGAGCAGAGGAGAGGATGGATGAAGGCAGTGAGAATGAATCAGGGCGCCTCCCCCTTATTTTTTGGTTTATTTTCTTCCTCATTTCTTCTCCAACAGGCAAGAAAGGGAAGAGAGGAGAGATGAGGAGAGTGTGTAAATAGAAGAGTGACATGTTTTCATGTTTACCTCTTCCTTGTTCTTCTCCTGTTATCCGACTCCTTTTCTCCTGAAAGAACCGTACGTTAGTTAAAGGTTTGTTGCTTTCCTCTTGTTGTCTGTTCCTTTCATCGCTGAATGGGAAGATCAAAAGAACATGCTGGACAGGGGCACAGGGGAACCGTCTTCGTCCTTGTATATACCCCCTTCTTTCTCCTCAACCGAAGGAACGGAAAAGTTGGAACGCAGGGGAGAGATTAAAGAAGGCAAAAGGAAGGGAACAGGGGAACTCATCCCTGCCCTAGGGGGAGAATGGGCCTCCCTTACGCAACAAACAAGTACTTGCTTCTCCTTTTTCCCGTCCATGTGCTTCGCTCATCTAGTGTTATGCATTCTCTCCTCCATAGAGAGCAGAGAGAAGAGGGAGGATGAATGTGGTGACATTGGTTTGTGCTGTTAAATCTTCATTCTGTAACAAAAGAACCACATGGAGGATGAATGCAGTGAGACTGAGTAAGGGCGCTTATCTTTATCCCTTCCTTGTGTGTTTCTTGTACATTCTGCTCGTGGCTTCCTCTTTCTTTTGAGATTGGCTTGTGTTCTCAAATCTTCATTCTGCAAGAAGAGCATCACTTATTCCTTCCTCGTGTTTTTCTTGTACATTCTGCTCGCGGCTTCCTCTTTCTTTTTCTTGTTGTTATCTAGCTTGCTTAAACACTCTTGTTAGTTCCTTGTGTTTTCCCCTGTTGTCTGTTCCTTTCTCGCTGAATGGGAAGATCAAAAAAACATGCTGGACAGGGGAGCCGTCGTCGTCCTTGTATATACACCCTTCTTTCTCCGTAAACGAAGGAACGGACGAGTTGGAACGCAGGGGAGAGATTAAAGAAGGCAAGAGGAAGGGAACAGGGGAACTCATCCCTGCCCTAGAGGGAGAGTGGGCCTCCTTATGCAACAAACAACTAACTACTTGCTTCTCTCTCATCTTCCCGTCCATGTGCTTCGCTCATCTAGTGTTATGTATTCTCTCTCGCGCAAGAAAATCAAGAAAAAAACTAGAAGGGAGAGAGCAGAGAGAAGAAGTAGGATAAGAAGAGAACCACAGAAGAGAAAGAAGAGAGGATTAGAGGATGAGTGCAGTGAGACTGAGTGTGGGCACTTCTCTTTGCGATGGGTTTTCATTCCTCGTGTTTTCCTTGTACATTCTGCTCGTGGTTTCCTCGTCCTTGTTCTTGTTGTTCTCTTTATCTAGCTTGCTTAAACACTCTTGCTAACTCCTGTAGATAAAATGAACATGCATAAGTGGACAGTGGAACCGTCTTCGTCCTTCTTCTTTACCCCTTCTTTCTCCTTAAAAGACGGAACAGAACAGTTGGAGCGCAGGGGAGGGACTAAAGAAGGCAAAGGAAGGGAACAGAGGAACTCGTTCCTGCTCTACGGGGAGTGGGCCTCCCCTATGCAACAAACAACTACCTGCTTCTCGCTCTTCCCGTCCATGCGCTTCGCTCATCTAGTGTTATGCATTCTCTCCTCCACAGAAGAGGGAGGATGAATGGGTTGAGATTGACATGTGTTATTTATATGTAGCCATTATTCTCCTCGGTAAGAAGAGCCAAGAGAGAGAGAGAGAGAGAGAGAGAGAGAGAGAGAGAGAGAGAGAGAGAGAGAGAGAGGGAGAGAGAGGGAGAGAGAGAGAGAGAGAGAGAGCGCGAGAGAGAGAGAGAGAGAGAGAGCGCGAGAGTGAGACAGAGAGAGAGAGCGAAAAGAGGAGACGGTGGATGAAGGTAGTGAGACTGACTTTTTCTTTGATGATTCCTTCCACTTTCCTTTTCTTCTACCCAAAGTCAAGAAAGGGAAGAGAGGAGGGGGTGTAAAGTGAATAGTGACTGAATGTAAAGAGTTCTATGGTTCCTTGATCTTCTCCTGTTCCGACCCCTTTTTCTCCTCGACAACAGGAAGTGGTCATACACCCTGGACTGTTCGTACAATCCTTTTATAACCGTTGAATGCACAACCCTAGACCATGAACCCAAAAGACATAAAATATCAAAAACTTTCTAGTAGCAATATGCATAATCTGAAATGCAAACTGCTCATTTGATAAGTGTTAATACTGTTGAAGTAAAACCCAAAGCAAGTAATCACATTATACCTAAAGGTCCATGGCACATATATATATATATATTTATTTATTATTGTTTTTTTTTTGGGGGGGGGGTTCTTAAGCAATTCGTAGTTTCTGGGCTCCGGGCCCCAAAATCGCAGCCTTATGCGAGGAAGGGCCGCTGGACTGCCTGTTTTACAGTCTCAGTCTCCAGTGGACCCTCTTTACCTACAGCTTTATGTGGTTTAGGGTTTAGGGTTTAGGGTTTAGGGTTTAGGGTAATTCTACATCCCCCTTGGGAATTATTGTTTTAAATGCTTGTTTATATAAAACCCAAGAGGATTTTTGCATTATTATCTTTATAAGGGGAATATTGAATGCAGGGTAGCTACTACTAAACCGTAGGTAAACTGCGACCAGGTCTAGGGTTTAGGGTTTAGGATACCCTAAACCCTAAACCCTAAACCCTAAACCCTAAACCCTAAACCCTAAACCCTAAACCCTAAACGCTGAGCACCAGGAGTCTTCGAGCGTTCCGCACAGCCCTTCTGCCCCGAGCAGCGTGTCGCAGCCTGGCGCATGTTTCGTAAACGAGGGGCCCCGCGTAGTGCAGTATGAGGACAGCGTTTCAACCCTAAGCCCTAAACCCTAAACCCTCCTAAACCCTAAACCCTAAACCCTAAACCTTAAACCCTCCCAAAGCGTTGCGCGCCTAAGGTCTCCGGCCCGGGCACTGCTGGGAAGTGCCGTGAGCGTTCGGAGTGCCCCGTCGGTGCGTCGAGTTTCCTCGGTGCCGGCCGATCCCGAGGCCGAACCTCGCGGACCAAGTGAACCCCTATAACAGGGTTTAGGTTTAAGGGTTTTAGGGTTTGGGATTGGGGCTTAGGGTTTATTAGGGCTTAGGGTTTAGGGCTTAGGGGGTTAGAGTGGTGTGGGTTTAGGGGGTTTAGGGGGGTTTAGAGGGTTTAGAGGGTTTAAAGGGTTTAGAGGGTTTAAAGGGTTCAAGGATTTCTGGTTCATACCAGTACCTGCATCACGGGGTGGCTGTGCCGTGGTCTGTTGTTTCACCTTGATAGGAATTCCTGGGACTCTGCTCACGTACGGTTTAGTAGTAGCTACCCTGAATTATAGTGGGTAGAACTCACAAAACTGTAGGTACAGAGGGTCCCAGGTTGTCGTAGTATTGGGAATATGCCCCTCCTCCCCATTTTTAGGCTTCATATTTATGTTCATTTGGTTCTCAGAGAAGGTATGACTGACCCCATCGTCCCTCACGGGAGGGAAGTGGACGCCGTTGTGGTACACCTTTGTGTGCGGTTTAGGGTTTAGGGTTTAGGGTTTTTAGGGTTTTTAGGGTTTTTAGGGTTGATAGGGTTTAGGGTTTAGGGTTTAGGGTTTAGGGTTTAGGGTTTAGGGTGAGTGAGTCTTCAACTTTGTAGCAAGTTAGAGTCCTTGTGGGACGCAGCTCTTGCCAAAATGCCACCACCCAAGCCCCAAACCCCAAACCCCATACCCCACACCCCAGACCCCAGACCCTAAACCCTAAACCCTAAACCCTAAACCCTAAACCCTAAACCCTAAACCCTAAACCCTAAACCCTAAACCCTAAACCCCAAACCCCAAACCCTAAACCCTAAAACCCTATCCGTCCCCCAGCAGATCCAGGAGCTCGCGCGGCAAGTCTCGCGGCGGCCCTCGCGAGCAGTGCCGGAGGAAGACAAGAGTCCAGGCCGCCAAAGAGCCGTTTAGGGTTTAGGGTTGAGGGTTGAGGGTTTAGGGTTGAGGGCTTTAGGGCTTTAGGGCTTTAGGGTTTAGGGTAGGGGTGCCTATGTGGTCTTACGTTGGGGACCACATGAACCCTGAGAAAGGGTTTAGGGTTTGGGGTTTAAGTAGGGTTTGGGCTTCATACACCTGAATAGGGGTATATAACCCAAATTCTGGGGCTCATCTGGTCCCCAAAGTGCCTAAACCCTTAACCCTTAACCCTTAACCCTTAACCCTTAACCCTTAACCCTAAACCCTGAACCCTAAACCCTAAACCCTAAACCCTAAACCCTAAACCCCAGGTGCATCGGGGGGGGGGGGGCTTTGAAAACTTTGAGGCGGCGCAGAAAAGCGCGTCTGGAGGCGCGTTCGCGAGTTCTGGACGCAGACGGAGCTGCCTCTCAGCGCAAGATAGAGCTGAATGCCTGAGACTTTATTTACTTACAGTTTAGGGTTTAGGGTTTAGGGTTTAGGGTTTAGGGTTTAGGGTTACCCTTCATGAGTAGGTATAACCCGTAAAACTGTAGGGTTTTAGGGTTTAAAGTTTAGGGTTTAGGGTTAGGGTTTAGGGTTACCCTTCATTAGCAGGTATAACCAGTAAAACTGTAGGTAAAGGGGGTTCCAGGTAGGGTTTGTGCCAGTGGATGTCTGAGTGCAAGACCCGACTTTGCTCCCCAGGGAGGTGGAGGAGCGGGGCGCGCAGACGGAGGCGATGCACAGGCAGCAGCCTGCAAGGGAGGGATGGCTCGGAATGCAGCGCGTTGATTTGCAGCTATGTGTAGGGTTTAGGGTGTTTAGGGTTTGGGTTTTACAGGGGGGTGTACCTGGCTTTTTCCCTGCAGTTTTATGGGTTATACCTACTGTACGTAAGTGACTAGAGTCCCAGGTAGAGCTTTTTGTTTAAAGTTATTTGCGAGATCAGTGGAGTCAGCAACTGATCTGGTGCCGCTTGAGTCATGGGACAGATTCACACTCTACCAACTCGAGGTTTACGAAAGACCCCCCAAATAGTAGGATTCCCTCATAAAAATGGCTGAGCCCACTAAGGCACCCCCAATTTCGGAATCTTACATGAGGCCACGAGGCCTTGCTGAGATTTTTGTCACTGAGTAAGGCTGTCTTGAAAAGCACATGCACCCAAAAATTGGGGTCATATGCCCTATAGTACTGTAACCCTATTAGGGTATATGAACCAGAACCTTTTAAGGGGTTTCATGTGGTTGCCCAAAGAACAAGGGGCCCCTAAAGGGAGGGGAGGGATTCCGCGAGGCAAACGAAAAAGCAGCCGCGCGGCAGCATTTCTTGACCCAAGTGGTCTCTGCATTTCGCCCGAAACCCTAAACCCTAAACCCCTAAACCCCTAAACCCTAAACCCCAAATCCTGATAGGGGTTCACAAATTGGTCCCCCCCTTGAGGCAGTAGAGCTGCCTGTGACACTCAGGGGCTTTGCCGCAGCAGCTGCTTTCTTCGGAGCGAAGAAGGAGGGAGCGGGATTGGGGTTTAGGGTTCAGAGTTCAGGGTTCAGGGTTCAGGGTTTAGGGTTTAGGGTCCAGTGGCGGGGAGCGCTGGGACGAGCGAGTTGCGAGAACTGACTTCTTTCTGCCAGAGCGACAGGCAGTGCCAAGCTTTTGATGTCAGGCCAGCGGCTTAAGCAACCCTAGGAACCCTAAACCCCAAACCCCAAACCCCAAACCCCAAACCCCAAACCCCAAACCCCAAACCCCAAACCCCAAACCCCAAACCCCAAACCCCAAACCCTAAACCCTAAACCCTAAACCCTAAACCAAGCGATGAAACTCAAGAGCCTTCCAGTTCAAGACAGGACAAGGGAGCTGATGGCCGGAACAGGACCATGAATGCTCCTTCACTGCAGTGAGAGCCGCATGATGTGGGGTTGTTTAGGAAATAGGGTTTAGGGTTAAGGGTTTAGGGTTTAGGGTTTGGGGTTTAGGGTTTTGGGTTTAGGGCTTAGATTTTCGGCCCCAAATTGTACGTAGAATTCCCTGATAAGTAAGGACCTCAAGAAGGTACCCCGACTTTCGGAAGCCCTCAGATTGCCTAAGCCCTAAACCCTAAACCCTAAACCCTAAACCCTAAACCCTAAACCCTAAACCCTAAACCTTGGGGGGAGCTTCTTGGGGCGTTGTACCGAGGACCTGGAAGGCATGAAAGCCCGAGCCAGAGTCTGGGTCTGAAACATGGTCGCCTCCCCTCTTCCTAGGGTTTAGGGTTTAGGGTTTAGGGTTTAGGGTTTAGGGTTTAGGGTTTAGGGTTTAGGGTTTAGGGTTTAGGGTTTAGGGTTTAGGGTTTAGGGTTTAGGGTTTAGGGTTTAGGGTTTAGGGTTTAGGGTTTAGGGTTTAGGGTTTAGGGTTTAGGGTTTAGGGTTTAGGGTTTAGGGTTTAGGGTTTAGGGTTTAGGGTTTAGGGTTTAGGGTTTAGGGCTGCAGCTTCCCAAAGCCCATTAAAGAAACCCGCACCCCTCGAAAACCTGAAGTGTTCGAAGCAATCTCTCCACCTAGTTGTGTTCGCAAGTGACTCCTGGTGTTCAACAGCTTTTTCACCTTGGAGACTATTTGTGAGCCCTGAAAGGGTTTTTGGCTCATGCTGCCTGACTCGAAATTATCGTAGTCAGGGTATATGACCCAAATCTTAGGCTTCATTTGGGTTCACATACCTTAGAAGGAATTATAGTAGTCAGGGTATATGACCCCAATTTTAGGCTTTATGTCGTCCCTAAGGCAGTTGCATGCCCTGCTGCAAGGAAAGGCGCTGATGAAACCGCCCCTGCGCCGAAGTTCATGTTGCCAGCACTCTCACCTGGTCTTCGAAGGGAACATAGGTGAACATAAGTTGAGGTTCTGAGGGGTTTAGGGTTTAGAGTTTAGGGTTTAGGGCTTAGGGTTGAGGGTTTAGAGGGTTTTGGGTTGGGGGTTGTGGGCCTTGTGGGTGTAAGGCAATATGATGTCATGAACTTCTACAAGACGGAGGGCTGCTTCCAGGCGATCGCTAGGCGGGCAGTCTCCTGGCATCTTCATGCAGTCATGAACAGCGGGGTGTAACAACATGCGGAGTTTAACAGAGCCTGTGGTGCAGAAGGATGCAGAAAGAGTGCTCTGATAAGGCCCGCACCCTGGGGACCAAATGAACCCCAAAACTGGGGTCATAAGGGTTTAGGGTTTAGGGTGACTGCTATAATCCCCAAGGCTGTATGAAGCCATAAAGACAATTGGTCCCCAAATATGGCCCCTAGGCTCGCTGAACTCTAAACCCGAAGCCCTAAACCCTAAAATTACCGGGGGTTCATACCCCTAAACCCTAAACCCTAAACCCTATACTCCCTAAACCCTAAACCTACTTGGTCCCCAAAAAGGCAGCTCTGCTCTTGGCAGGTCGAGCCTGTTTGACCAGCTGACGGTGGCGGTCGTCTCCCTGAACGCCATCTGGATTGCCCGCCTCCTAGGATGGCCCTGCGGGGTTCTGAGTGGGTTTAGGGTTTAGTTTAGGTACTAAACCCTAAACCCTAAGCCCTAAGCCCTAAGCCCTAAGCCCTAAACCCTAAACCCTAAACCCTAAACCCTAAACCCTAAACCCTAAACCTACTGGACGTAAAAGAAATCGAACAGCCAATCCCGAAGCTGCAACGACGCCACTGCGCTCTTGAGGCCGTTGACACGGACAACAACGACGCGGTGCCTTGGGGACTTCAATGAACCCTTTAAAAGGGTTTATGGCTCATGCACCTTAATAGGAGTCATAGCAGTCCTAAACCCTAAACCCTAAACCCTAAACCCTAAACCCTAAACCCTAAACCCTAAACCCTAAACCCTAAACCAGGGTACATGACCCCAATTTTAGGGTTCATAATTGGTCCCCAAGGTGCTGGTGAGCGAGGCCGAGCCTGTCTTCCAGGCCCGTGCCTTGGGGAGGAAATGGACCCTGAAAGGGTTTAGCGGTTTAGGGGTTTAGGGGTTTAGGGGTTTAGGGGTTTAGGGGTTTAGGGTTTAGGGTTTAGGGTTTAGGGTTTAGGGTTTAGGGTTTAGGGTTTAGGGACACCAAATGAACCCTACTACTTAGTAGTAGAGCAAGCAACCTTTTTGGGGCATTATCAACCCTATACAATCCGAAAGGTTCACCTAGGATACTGGGCAACTACGTAAAAAGGGTTTAGGGGTTTAGGGTTTAGGGTTAGGGGTTCAGGGGCTGAGGGCTTTAGGGCTCATATTTTTGCCTGAATTACATATTGTAGTCAGTGCATATGACCCCAACTTTTGGGGTTCATGTGGTCCCCAGGGTTTTGAGTGGTCTTCCGGGCCCGCAGGCGAAAACAGGGGACCCCCAATTTCGATCCCCAAAGAGTAGGATCCCCTTAAAAACTAAAGGACCTTGATAAGGTACCCTAATTTTCGGTAACCCCCCCCAATTTTTGAGTGGTGTTGCCAAGAGCAGAAAAACTTGGGGTAGCAGGAATCGTGAAGTACTTCACGTGAAACCGCACTGCCCGCAGCAGATGGAGCCCATTCACCAAACTGACCCTAAACCCTAAACCCTAAACCTTAAACCCTAAACCCTACACCCTAACCCCTAAACCCCTAAACCCCTAAACCCCTAAACCCCTAAACCCCTAAACCCCTAAACCCTAAGATTCCGCAGGTCATGGAGAACGTGTCCGGTCCTCAGAGTTTAACGAAGCCTTAGCAGCTGAATGAGTACATTTACACCTTTTGGGATACTCTCTAATCCCCCTACAGAACTGAAAGTGTGCATGTTTTTGGGGCTTAGGGTTTAGGGGGTTTAGGGACTCAGCAACTAAGAAGGACATCGCCAGCAAACGGCATCCGGGGTGTTGCCAGTCGAGCGTCGATGATGTAGATGTCTGTTGCAGCAGCGTAACTCCCTGCCCCCACCCCAATATTTACCCCCCTACCCCCTAATATTACATACTCCCCCATCTACTATAATATTACGATAATGGGGGTATTGCTTATTTTTAGCATTAGTATCATGATATTCAGTATTATTAGTATTACTATTTTTTATCACTATTATTACCGTTGTTTTTTCATTATTATTATTATTAGTAGTATTATTATTAGTATTACTAGTATTATTAGTATTATCAGTATTATTAGTATTATTAGCATTATTAGTATTATTAGTATTATTAGTATTATTAGTATTATTAGTATTATTAGTATTATTAGTATTATTAGTAGTATTAGTATTATTCGTATTATTCGTATTTTCGTATTATTAGTATTATTAGTATTGTTAGTATGATTATTTATTTATTATTATTATTATTGTTATTTTTATCATTATTATTATTGAGGGGGTAAGGAGGGGGGGGCTTTAGGGGGAAGGGAGTATTCACAAACGATCGTGCAAGCCTTAAGCTGCTTGACGCAGCAACCCCCTCACTCGTGACTTGGTTCTGGGTGTGGGTAGTAAGTCTTTCGTGAGGCCTTGGTTTAGGGTTTAGGGTTTAGGGTTTCGGGTTTAGGGTTTAGGGTTTAGGGGAGCCTATTAACGAAACCCCTAAACCCTAAACCCTCAAGTGAAAGAAGGAGTGAGGCCAGGGAAGGAGGTATGTATGTGTTTTTTCTCCGTACAACAGAAAAGTTAATGTAAGTCAACCTTTCAAGAGGCATGGGACATCTGACTTTGGGCCACGAAGCTCCGCCAGAAACGCTCCGGTCCCTGAAAGGACTGTGCGCAAGCCGAACAAAAGTCCCTCCCAACAGCAGTCCGTTTTAGGGTTTTAGGGTTTTAGGGTTTAGGGTTTAGGGTTTCGTTGCCTTCAAAAGGTATCATTAACCCTATGGCCTAAGCCCTAAGCCCTTGCCTTTGCCGGCGGCTGGTGGATGTTTTCTTGCTCCGGTCGCTGCTTGATGCTTTGGCTCAGGTTTTGCGCTTACTTCTTTGCAGCATCCTGGCGGAAATGTGAGCTACTTGCGCAGTCGAGTCCCTTGTGCAAGACAGCTTGCGGCACACTGACCGCTTAGCATGCCCATGGCATGTGTGTATACTGTGTATATTGTGTTTAAGCGGCCATCCTGGCATATCTGTGGATATTGGATCGGTTGTTGCCCTTAGCTGGCGTGCATTTAAGAGTGGGTTGCTTGTTTCGTAGCCATGGGGGGTATCTCCCGAAATAGGACGGAGTACCCTAATGCCCGCACATATACTCTAGCCCTCATTATAGGATCCCTCCCCCTCCCCAAAGTAGAAACCGCCCAAGTTTGTTGGGAGACGTCCCTCTACCAGCATGGGCTATTAGGCCTTATCATACCCATAAATAACCCTTTAAAGGGCCTCTTTAGGGGATAGCCAGGCCTTATCATCCCCATAAATAAGCCCTTTAAAGGGCCTCTTTAGGGGATTATAGGGTAGAATAGCCCGCCCTGGTATGTCACCCCACGACATATCATGTCTCGGGATGGAGCAGCGCGATACAGGAAATCGCCATCCGCTTCTGCGCCTTCGAGCGGAAGAAGCACGCATTCATGGACAAGCTCCTGGCCTACACCTTGGGGGACTACATGTGAACCCCAACAAGGGTTTTATGATTCCCATGACCTCAATAGGAAGGAAAACCCTAAACTCTAAACCCTAAACCCGAAACCCGAAACCCTAAACCCTAAACCCTAAAACCCTAAAAACCCAGTGGGGTATATGACCCCCCCCCCCCCAATTTTAGGGTTCATCTCGTACCCCAAGGCACTTAAAGCTGCTTCTATCTTTGGGGACTAATTGTGAACCCTGAAAGGGCTTACAGTTTAGGATATAAGGGTTAAGGGTTTAGGGTTATGGGTTAAGGGTTTAGGGTTTAGGGCTAGGGCCTGGGGTTTAGGGTTAGGGGTTTAGGGGTTCAGGGGCTTAAGGCTCTCAATAGAATTATCGTAGTATCCGGGTATATGACCCATCTCTTTGGGTTGATTTTTGGTCCCCAAGGATCAGATTAAGGACTGTGCAATCCCATGCCATCTGCTTCTTAGGGGGTACTCCGCGGCTTGATCCTGTTTTGGGGTTTATGGGGTTTAGGGCTTCAGAGTTTACGGTTTCAGGGTTTTGGGGTTTTATGGTTTAGGGCTTAGGATTTTAGGATTTTAGGGTTTTAGGGGTTTAGGGTTTTTTGGGGTTTTAGGGTCTATCCTCGTAGCCCGAGGTGGTTTATCTTTGACTTTCTCCTCGTGTTGAACATGGTTATTGAGACATGGATACTGCCGCTTGTGTGTCTTGGCTGCGAGCACCTTGGGGACGACATGAACCCTAAAAGGGTTTATGGTTCATATACCTTAACAGGAATTATAGTCGTCAGGGTACATGACCCCCCAATTTTAGGGTTCATTTCGTCCCCAAGGTAGAGCATAGGTTTAGGATTGCAGCGGGTCACAAAGTGCGGATTCTTTGTCAGATTTGGTGCAGTGTGGTGCTGGGTCAAGGCTTTCATTCCTCAGCGGGGAATCCGCAAACACCATCGACGTCTCGATGCTGCGAACCTCAGCAGACAATGGCCATCATGCTGGCCGCGGTCAGTCTTTTCTTACTGTTGGTTAGAAGGGAAACGGGGGGAATCAGGTACCCTGTATAATCACTTAAAGGGTATATATATATATATATATACATGGACATATATAAGGTAGTTTTGCTCTGACACATTGGCACTTCTCCGTGCTGTTCTGAGGAATGCTGCGCCTGGTGAAGCTCACTCGGCTGTCACGCATGGCCAGAGTTCTGCGCTCTGTCCCCGAGCTAGCGATCATTGTGACACTTTGCCGCAAGGGGTGCGTTGGGGTTTAGGGTTTAGGGTTTAGGGTTTAGGGTTTAGGGTTTAGGGTTTAGGGTTTAGGGTTTAGGGTTTAGGGTTTAGGGTTTAGGGTTTAGGGTTTATAAGGTTTAGGGTTTAGGGTTTAGGGCAGCTTGCGTTTGCGCTCGATTTCAGCATCAGCTGGAGGAAAGCCATTGGGCTCTCCGCGCGGTCGGTCTGCGTCTTCTTCCTGCTTTGGCTGGTGCGCTTGGCCTAATTCTCTTCACGATGTTAGGGGGGTTTAGGGTTTAGGGTTTAGGGTTTGGGGTTTAGGGTTTAGGGTTTAGGGTAACCCTTCTGGAAGAGTCGCCTCTCAACTCTGGACAGCTCTGGACATGTTTTCCTCTGCATGTTGTTTTTGTGAACATGCCAGGTCTTGATCTACGTCTTTGCTGTGGTGTTCAGGCCGCAGGGACCCGCAGGGAGCAGGGTTCCGTAAACCCTAAACCCTAAGCCCTAAACCCTAAACCCTAAACCCTCAACGCTAAACCCTAAACCCTAAACCCTAAACCCTCTTGCAAACGGCTGCACCCTGTGCACCCTGTGGGCAGGCAGCTGACGGACGGAGACGACCTAGGTTTGGCGTACTTCAGTTCCGTCCCCAACGCGCCGCTCCGCTGGAAATGCACAGGGGGCAGGTTTAGGGTTTAGGGTTTAGGGTTTAGGGTTTAGGGTTTCGGGTTTCGGGTTCGAAACCGCCAAGCACCCGAGTCGGCAGCTTGTGGCCATGGGCATTGTCATCTAGCCGTTGGCCCTGTTGCGTTCAAAGCGCACTTTAGAACAATGCCTCAAAACCCCAAAACCCCCAAACCGCCCAAACCCCCAACACCCCCCAAACCCAAAATCCACAACACCCCCAAACCCCCAACACCCCAACACCCCCAAAACCCCCAAACCCCCCAAAATCCCTAAAACCTGCAAGGAAACGGAGGGCCCAATGCGCCATACACCAGGATGGACACCCTCCTCATGGATGGCATTCTGGCGGACTACGCTCCCCTCCTGCACGTGGCTGCTTGGACTCCGGCCTAAACCCTAAACCCTAAACCCTAAACCCTAAACCCTAAACCCTAAGCCCTTTCTCACCGTGGCAAGGGCTGAAGTGTGCAAAATTGCAGACTCATGGAGGTGGGTCACCTCTGAGGCACGTGGACCCTAGAAGCCGTAGAAACCCTAAAAGCCCTAAAAACCCCAAATGCTAAAAATCAGTAGCCCTAAACCCTGAACCCTAAACCCTGAACCCTAAACCCTTAAAAGCAGCCCTAATCCCTGAACCCTAAACCCGTAAAGGAACTCAGAACAAGGTTCAGAGGTTGAGCCCGCAAGCCTGGAAGACAGCGCTGCAATAACTGCGCAATCAGGAAGGCAAGCCCACGTCTGCTGAAACCCTGTAAATCCTTTAAACCCAAAGCGCCCTAAAGCCTTAGAAGCCCTAAAAGCCCTAAAAGGCTTAAAAAGCCCTGAAAACCCTAAAGGCCCCAAAAGCCCCATAAGGCTTAACAAGCCATCCAAAAACCCCAACAGTCCTAAACCCAAAACCCTCAATCCTAAACCCTAAACCCTAAACCCTAAACCTTAATACATTTTCCGAGTCTTGTGCAGTTTTTCTCTGGGCCATGGGCTCATTGAGGTCGGCTCCCAGGGCGGCCCCTTCGAGCGACTTGCTAGCACGTTTAGGGTTTCGGGTTACTAGGGATTGGGGTTTAGGGTTTAGGGTTTAGGGTTTAGGGTTTGGGGTTTAGGGTTTAGGGTTTAGGGTTTAGGGTTTAGGGTTTAGTTTTTGGGGTTTAGTAAGTTTGGGGATTTAGGGTTTCTCGGGTCTAGGGTTTAGGGTTTCTAGGGTTTCTAGGGTTTAGCGTTTAGGGTTTGGAGTTTGGGGTCTAGGGTTTCGGGTTAGGGTTTAGGGTTTCGGGTTTACTTTTTGGGGTTTAGGAAGCTTAGGGTGTAGGGTTTCAAGAGACAACATGAAGTCAGGTGGTGCATCATGCTTTTCTTCGTGCTCCTGGCCGCCATCACCATCATGCCGCGAGACCTCATTGAAAGCCAGGGTTTGGGGTTTAGGGTTTAGGGTTTAGGGTTTAGGGTTTAGGGTTTAGGGTTTAGGGTGAGACCTGTTCATTGCAAGAGCCATGAACTTCTGTAGCCCTAAGAGCAGTCTCTGCAGAGGGCTCAACATCGGATGGCGTCGGATCCCAAAACCCTAAAGCCCTAAAGCCCTAAACACTAAACCCTAAACCCTAAACCCTAAACCCTAAGCCTTAAACCCTGAACCGTATTGGAGCCAGTTGCTTGTGACGGTCTCGCCATGCCCGGAGGTTGCGAACTTTTGGGAAGTTCGGGCTTAGGGTTCTGTAACCCAGTACCCACCATGGTAGGGAGCTGATCTCCGGGCAGGAGGATTGCCGCTGAGTGTGCAAGAGCCCTGAAAGGTACATGCTGGTGGGGGTGCTTGTTGAAGTGGTCGGTGCTCTTGCACATGCAGAGACTCCTGGCGAAGCTACTGGCAGGGCTCGCACTGTAAGATGCAACGGCGACTGTTCTCCCTTAGAAGCCCCTAAACCCGGAACGTAGTGTGTCTCTCTCGCTCTCTGTGCCTGTGCCTGTGCCTGTGCGTGTGGGTGTGTGTGTGGCAGCCGGCTGATGGATTGAGTTTTGGTAGGGGGCGTCTTGGAAATGGGGGGCAGAAAGCTTAGCAAAGAAGAGGGGGTGGGGTGGGGTGGTGGGCAAAGGGGGATTTAAAGCTATGGTCACTTCTCCAAATTTCCCTACTTTGAGGTCAGTATATAATGATGATATAAGGCGGTCCTCACAGTCAAGGGTGACCACAAAAGGGACCATCACGCAGAGAACTCACCATACGCAAGGGTGCCTCTATCATCTGGAATCCGGGCACGGACGAAACCAAAGGTCGGAACTTGTTTTTTTCTTCATTGTGGGTTGCTCGCATTGTGTTCGAGAATCGGGCCTTGGTACGGAGAGCACTCACCTAAACCCTAAACCCTAAACCCTAAACCCTAAACCCTAAACCCTAAACCCTAAACCCTAAACCCTAAACCCTAAACCCTAAACCCTAAACCCTAAACCCTAAACCCTAAACCCTAAACCCTAACCCTAAACCCTAAACCCTAAACCCTAAACCCTAAACCCTACTTGCATTGGCATGCACAGCCCCGCTCAGGAAGGAAAGCCCTGGGCTCTGAGATCTCGCGTCGTGTCGTGTGCAGTGTTTGCAGATGCCCTAAACCCTAAACCCTAAACCCTAAACCCTAAACCCTAAACCCTAAACCCTAAACCCTAAACCCTAAACCCTAAACCCTACCCTAAACCCTAAACCCTAAACCCTAAACCCTAAACCCTAAACCCTAAACCCTAAACCCTAAACCCTAAACCCTAAACTTAAACCCCCCTAAACCCTAAACCCTAAACCCTAAACCCTAAACCCTAAACCCTAAACCCTAAACCCTAAACCCTAAACCCTAAACCCTAAACCCTACACCCTACACCCTACACCCTACACCCTACACCCTACACCCTACACCCTAAACCCTAAACCCTAAACCCTAAACCCTAAACCCTGTTCTGTCTGAGGTGGGCTATGTGGCTTCTACCCTTCGTGACAAGATGCAAAACCATGGGCATGATACCGCCCCTTGGTCGAGTACTGTAGGGGTCGGAATAGTTACTCATTGTATTCCCTTATGATCTCTTATAGTTTAGGGTTTAGGGTTTAGAGTTTAGGGTGTTATACCAGAATAACCCACCCCAATTTTTCATTACGAAGGCCCCTATATTATCTGTGAGAGCTGAGGGCAGAACATGCCAGGACGTTGGCCGTTGTCTTTCGTCTGACACCTTACTCATCGCCCCTTGCGGAAGCAGCGAGGCCCCTGAACCACCGAGACCGAAACAGAGAGACAACTAAACCCTAAACCCTAAACCCTAAACCCTAAACCCTAAACCCCGAAGACCAGGAGTCGCCTCTCAGCAAAGCCGAGCTCCAGGCGCGAGCCGCTTTTGGTCCGCCTGCCCTCTCGGTCTGTGGGGTGCTTCTGCGGGTAAGGGCGGGCCTAAACCCGAAACCCTTAAACCTTAACCCTTAACCCTGAACCCTTATAAACCCTAAACCCTAAGCCCTAAACCCTAAACCCTAAACCCTAAACCCTAAACGAGGACCTGCTGCTCGACCCCGATGTCATGGAGGCTGGGGACGAAATGCTCGGCCCAACTCCCCGTGAACCTTGGGGACCCAAGGAACCCTCAAAGGGTTTAGGGGAGAAGGTCTTTATGCCTCACATAACTTAATTGGAACTTTTGTAGTCTAGGGTATATGACCCCATTTTGGGGGTGCAAGATGACTTAGTTGCAATTATAGTAGTATGGGGTTTATGCATCCCTAGTAATTGGAAAATCCGTAGTAAAAAGGTTTCATGACCCCATCTTTGGGGGTGCACTCTGGTCCCCAAGCGAAAGCCGTGTGGAGGTGCTGTCATCGGTTCAGGTCGACGTGCCTCTCGTCCTTCGCTGGCCTTACCCTAAACCCTAAACCCTAAACCCTTCAAGCCAAAGCGATTTGTGTGGGGCCTAAGGGTGGCGCTCATGGAGTTGGTGAACATCGCTTACGAGGACGCTGCATGAGTGGTGGCATCTTTGGCTAAGGGCAAGCTGCATGTCCTGACCACCACCTCCCACAACTGGGCTGTAGTGCACTACCGCTGTGAGGATGCAGAACGGAGTGGAGCCTCCATGAACTTCGAGAAGCTGCATGGCTCAGAAGTTGACCCCGTCGTGTTCTAGATGCCTTCGTCAGAAGTGCTCAGATTCCGCTCGCCTCACAGCTGCGCCATCTTGCAGTGTTGCAGTGCCTTCAGCCCAGGATCGTGAGCCTGGCACGGAGCCCAGACATTCAGTGAGCATCCAGAGAGCATCCCCCCCTCCCCCGCACCCGACATCGTGGCAATGCACGTCGCAAAGTTCTTCTTCCCCTTCCCCCACCTGTCCAGGGTCCCTACAGGTCCCTGCGCCCCCGTCTGAGAGGTCCTCAATGGCAGGGGTCAGAATACGGCCTCCGTGAAGGATACCTCGGAGCTCCTGAGGCAGCGCTGTGCTTGAAGGGACGTAAATCAGGGGCCCTCATGAGGGGGAAGTTTGCCTGCTTAAGCGCCGGCATCACTTGTGTCCACTGTCAGATTCCCTAAACCCTAAACCCTAAACCCTAAACCCTAAACCCTAAACCCTAAACCCTCAACCCTAAACCCTAAACCCCAAACCCTAAACCCTAAACCCTAAAGATTTTTTCACAACATCTCTGCCTTGTCGTTCCGGGTGCAGCAGGATCCTGAAGCAAATCATCGTCCAGAAGACAGGCGCATCCTCTGCGTCCGGACATGTTCTCTTTGGGACCAATTATGAACCCTAAAATTGGGGGTCATAAACCCTATACTACTTTAATCCCTATTAAGGTATATGAGCCAAAAACCCTTTTAGGGCTCATTTGGTGCTGGGCTTGGCAGCAACACCAGCTCGAAAGAAGCCGAGGTATGCGACGTTTTGACGTTGTTACGGGCAATGCCTCCAGCCTTTATCGGGGTTTCGAAAATAGGGGTACCTTCTTCGGGGGGTTCCCCCCCCCCCCTCCCCCGATGCCCATCGAAATGACTCTTCAAGCTCACTCTCTCAAACTCGCGGATGGCCCCAGGAGGGTTTAGGGTTTGGGGTTTAGGGTTTAGGGTTTGCGACTTCCCAAAACGTTCTCTTTGCGAATCAGGGGGACCTTGACCTTATGCTTTCGAACAGAAAGGCGAAGTTACGGAGAAGCTTCAGGAAGACATCGGCATGGCTTGGAGCTTGGCTACATGGCATCTCCATGGCATCTCCAAGATGAGACTGAAGCATGGGTATAGGGTTTAGGGTTTAGGGTTTAGGGTTCAGGGTTCAGGGTTTGGGTTGTCGGGTTTGGGTTTAGATGTGGGAGTGAGAGTGACTTCTGAGGTCTCTCGCAACTTGCAGCAACTGCAAGAGGCCTGGGCTCTCCTGGTGTTTTGAAGCAAGAGAAAAAAGCCACATGAAAGCACCGTCCTGGCTTGTTGAGAGACACGTGCGAAGTGCATACTGAGTGCTCTATATAGGGAGTCTGTATCATGGCGAACGGCAGAAAGTTTCTCACCCCCAAAAAGAGGCGCAGTTCGACTCCATGGGAATGGCAGCCTGTCAGCAAACCAAGCACGGAGACATCTGCTCGGGGTTCAGGGGGTGTGGAGCATCTGCTTAGAGAGCTTCAGAGAAATAACCCTAAACCCTAAACCCTAAACCCTAAACCCTAAACCCTAAACCCTAAACCCTAAATGTGTTTTTATTTAAGAGAATCCTTCCGGCTCTTGTGCAGGGTGGATGGCAGGGTGGCGGCAGCCAGGCCAACCTGTAGTCCAGCTGGCAGCTTTTTAGGGTTTAGGGTTTAGGGTTTAGGGTTTAGGCAGGATTTTTCAGGTCGGACCCGCAAGACGGCTCTCTGCAAAGGACCCACACACCCTGGGATCTGCACACGCGATGTCGGACAAGTCACGGCAGCTCCCAGGGCTTGGACCCGTGTCAGACATTTAGGGTTTAGGGTTTAGGGTTTAGGGTTTAGGGTTTAGGGTTTGCACAGAAGTTGAAGCACCAAAATCTTGGCGACTGCAGCGCGATGCCTCGCTTGGCAGCGTCACCTTCAGCACTGACACTTCCATTCTAAGTAAACTCTTACCAGGATGGGTTATTGGGCCCTATAATCCCCATAATCAACCCTATAAAGGGCCTTTTTGGGGGGTATAGGGTATAATAGCCCGTCCTGGTAGGGGTCAGTTTGTACATAAGAGGATGGCCCGCGGTTCTGAAAGGCTTGCGTACCCACGCGTGGCTCCAAAATCATGAGCCAGTCCTTGGGGACGAAATGAACCCTAAAAGGGTATATGGTTCATGTACCTTAAGAGGAATTATAGTAGTCAGGGCATATGTCCCTGTGCTTGCGCATCCCAGTCCCATCACCCCTCTGCCCCAAGCAGCGTGTTTGGCCCCTTTAAAGGCAAATGGGGTGGAGGCCGCAACCCACACTATCAACATGAGATTCCTAGCTCCCAAGAGTAGACTGTGCAGAATTTGCCCAACACCAGATTTGAAACCAGCGCTCTTGTTTGTCCACCCCGTCAATTGCATTGACCTGAGCTGCCGAACACTACATCCCCCTTAGGAACTATTTTGTGTTTTTTAAATAAAACCCAAGAGGATATCAAACATATGTTTTTTTAAGGTTCGAAGGGGAGTCTAGAACACACGAGGGACCGTGGACATGATCGAAGCTACTCGATGCTGGCGTGCACCCCACACAGTGGAGAAAGTGATGACCTGTCCATCGGGCCCTGGGAGGCCGGAAAGTGGTACCTCCATGAAAGCCGCGACGCCCCTAACCTTGTAATCAGGCCTCTAACTCCCTGGTCTGGTTGTTTGAACAAGAACCTGAGGACTCTACTTACCTACAGTTTTGCGAGTAACTACCCCTTAATCAGTACGTATAGCCCATAAAACTGCAGGTAGAGAGGATCACAGGAAAGCATGGTTCAACCTAGCCATGGCGTCATACGAGTGAGCCGTGCTTGCAGAGTTTGTCAGGCTAAACCCTAAACCCTAAACCCTAAACCCTAAACCCTAAACCCTAAACCCTAAACCCTAAACCCTAAACCCTAAACCCTAAACCCTAAACCCTAAACCCTAAACCCTAACCCTACTATCAGGCTCTACTTCTCCGTGCTTGCGTGCGCGTCTACCTCTTTGAGCCTCCGGCATTATCTTGCATCCAAAATGCATGTTGGCTTCCCCCAAGTCCCTTGCACTTAGATGCTGCCCCAGTTGCACTTCGAATTCTGACTCGTTGAAGGCAAAGGCCTGCCATGAGCGCGTCCTCTGCCCGAAAACTGCACAAGACCTTCGCACGGGCGGAAACTCCCCCTAAGAAACCAAAGGCCGGGAGTGGTCAAGAATCACCGGCGTCTTGAGAGCACAGGCGTTGGCGCAGCTGTCAGCCCCTTTGTTTGGGCTGACTCCAGCACCAAATCAACACCCACAAGCCCTTGCAAACCAGAAAAGCCCATCAACCGCTTCAAGCTCGTAAACTCATTAAACCCCATTGAACCCCAATCACCCTGACAAACCGTACCCTGGGGGGTGTGGCACCGTGTTGCTTGGGCAAAGGTTCCTGGAAGGCTGTCAGCACTTTCTTGGGGTTGGGGGTGTGGATGGCTACCTCTCACGCCGAAGGCCGAGGCGAGGGTTCTCTGCGGTTGAGGGTTTAGGGTTCTGAGAAGTTCTTGAAAGAAGTTCTTGAACCCTAAACCCTAAACCCTAAACCCTAAGCTCTAAACCCTAAACCCTAAACCCTAAACCCTAAAGATTTTAAGCAAGTGGTGTACCAGCAAAGTGCCACCACCTTCTGTGGCTCGGCCCTGCCTCCCCATGACCCTTCGCGCCCCAAAAAGAGCGCAGGCACCCAAGGGCCTATGAACCCTAGACCCCACGGCATCGAAGAGGGTTTAGGGTTTAGGGTTTGGGGTTTGGGGTTTGGGGTTTGGGGTTTGGGGTTTGGGGTTTGGGGTAGTTTAGCGTTTAGGGTCTCCACCACGTCAGGTGTTTGACGACAGCCCCGGCGCTGTCAGCCAATCAGCGAGGGGAAGCAGATCGGTTGCGGTTAAGTGACCAGGCCCGGGCATGTTTTGGGGTTAAACGTGCTGTTTTGAAAGGCACCTTTTCTTTGGAGGGGGGGGGTTGTCGTCTTTTTTGTTTTTTGGGGGAGGGGTGGGTTGAAGGGTGCCTTGTGAAGAATGCCTGTTGCCCTCTGTCGTCAAGAGCACCAGGCCGCGGAAAAATGACGCCCATGCCGAAGCCAGTGAGTTCTTTGACCTTACATCGATGGCGGCATCCAAGCACTTCTTACACCTCCCTACCACCCGCCTTACAGCCCTACACCCCCACATACCCCCTAACAACCCCAACACCCTCCCCTCCTCTTCCCCTTCACACGTGCCAGCCCCCTTACACCCCCCCTTACACCTTGCCTTACAGGGACACTGGCCCCTACACCCCCCCTAACGCCCTTACGGCACCCTTAGAGCCCACCCCCTAACCCCCCCCCCCCCCGCCCCCTTCCACCCTTACAACACTTAAACCCCCTGACCTTACACCTACGCTGCACACCCCTTCTTACACCCCCCTTACATCCCCCTTGCATCACCCCGCCCTTATCCTGACACCTCCTTACACACGCCCTTACGCTCCCCTTATCCCCCTCCCCCATACACCCGCCCCTCCCCCCCCCCCCCCCCACCCCCTTACACCCTCCGTTACATACACCCCCTTGACACCCCCTCTTGCACCCCCCGTGCAGCCCCCTCTCGCACCTACCCCCTTACATAATACATGATCGACACATGCTCGATGTCGGCATCCAAGTGTAGACCCCCCCTTGGCTCAGCTGAACCAAAAATTGGTGAGGCTCTGCGAGTTCTGCCCTAATTTTGGGGACCAGTTATGAACCCTCGAGTTGGGTTTCATATAGTATAATCCCTATCAGGGTACCATGAATCATAAAAACCCTTTCAGGGTTCATGGCAGTCCCCAAGGAATTTTAAGAATACAGGGTTTTTAGCGTCCGCTGAGAATTCAGTGCTAGGGCCGGCAACACGCTGCCCTCGTGCATCTTGGGATGTTCCCCCCCTTATACTAGCAGTCCTGAACAGGGTTTAGGGTTTAGGGGTTAGGGTTTAGGGTTT